AAGAACAATATTGATTAATTGAGATAGATGCTAAGCATAACCATAGAGTTATCTGGATGAGCGAACCCATTAGAATTTCTCAGAAAGGTAATACCATGCTTTAATGATTTAGGTATTTCAATAAGTGTACAGAAATTCTCTCAAAATGTATAAAAGATAAAGAGGATGAGATTTTCTTAAATAAATAACAAATTATAGATTATAAATATGTAAGTCCTAGACCTATAGATCAGAGCTTGATATCACGTTTGGTTCTAGGAAGCAAACCTACTCGAGGATACAATCTTAACAAGAATTAAACGCCATCGATTTTTTCTAAAACCTTTAATCAACTACATCTAGATACAATCGTTTGTGTCCACGTAGTCACCGAAGTTCGTCCACGTGTAGTTCCAGAAGCGTGGATAGCCAAGCGGGTCATCGGGTTTATTTGCGGGAGGCACTGCAGTTGAGTTTATGAGCTGCAGCTCCTTCAGCATGAGTTCCAGCACCTTAGGATAGCTAACGGAAGGAGTTGAGAGTTAACGTATATATGAAATGATATAAATACTTACACAGCCGCTTGGTTACGCTGCTCGCAGGGATCTTCCCGTATATTGAAGAGACAGGGCGCCTTTAGTGGGTTGCAGGAGATGTTCGGCGCATCCTTCAGCCTGGCATCCTTGCAGATGACATTGGCTGCTTCGCGGGCTCGTATCATATCCGCAGTTTTGGGCAACACCTTCAGCTGCTGCAGKGYTTGGCCTGCTGGACTCTTGGCGACCAGGAACCAGTCGTAGTCGCGGGGATTGCGCGTGCCCGCCGGCCCATACCAGCCATCCCATGAGCCATTGTAGTTGGTGCCCTTCACCAGCTTCCAGTCGCCCACGCTCAACGCTGCGCTGCCCCAGATGTCGTCTATGTTATGCAACACGCTCTTGCGCGGCGACACCTCGTTCTTGAGCAGCGCTTGCCACACACTCATCCCATCCAGCTGAGCGTTGTTCAGCTGGGCAAGTGCCGCCTCACCGCCAGCCGCTTCCAGCAGCGTGGGCAGCCAATCCACAATGTGCATGGTCTGATCTGCGACGCGTGGACGTTTGCTCAGCTGTGCGGACCACACCAGCCCAGCACCTCGCACTCCGCCCTCCCACAGCGTATTCTTCACACCCCTCAGTGGATAGTTGGAGGCGAAATTCGAGTTGAAACCCTCCGCCGGACCGCCATTGTCAGTGGAGAAGATTATTATGGAGTTGTCTAGCATGTGGGACTTCCGTAGCTGCTCCACAATGCGCCCCACAGAGTCGTCCATGGCGGTGACCAWTGCTRCAAKGCAGAGASATTGAGAGTTAGCATATGSTRATATATMGTTTYATTACATRWTGTATTGYTTTARATTTGTTATTATATAGGAGTTCTACTTTCTCCCAGCATCAAAGTTGAGTTAGCAATGTGTCCCATTAGTTAGGATATATTAAATCAATTTTGAAGTTATGTTTCTTAATTGTTTTTAATATCCTAATAAATAAAACATATTTTAATAATGGTAAAATTTTGTATATGTGTTCGAACAAATATCTTTAAAAGTCTTT